CTCCCCACAACTCCCCTGACAGGAACCAATGTGTGTTGCTTCCCCCTACTGTGTGTCCATGTGTTCTCATTGTTCAGCCCACACTTTTAAGTGAGAACATCAGTGTCTGGTTTTCTGTTCCTGCAAAAGTTTGCTGAGGGTAATGGCTTTAAGCTTTATCCTTGTCCTTGCAAAGGACATGATCTTGTTCCCTTTTAAGGCTGCATAGTATTCCATGGTGTATATGTACCACATTATCTTAATTCAGTCTATCATTGACGGGCATTTGGGTTGATTCCATGTCTTTGCTATTGTGAATACTGCTGCAATAAATGTATGTGTGCGTGTCTTTATAATAGAATAATTTATAGTCTTTGGGTTATATACTCAGTAAGGGGATTGCTGGGTCAAATAATATATCTAACTCTAAATTTTTGAGGAATTGTCATACTGTTTTTCACAATGGCTGAACTAATTTACATTCTCATCAACTGTGTAAAAGTGTTCCTTTTTCTCTGCAACCTCGCCAGCATCTGTTGTTCCTTGACATTTTAATAGTTGCCATTATGACTGGTGTGAGATGGTATTTCATTGTGGTTTCGATTTGCATTTCCCTTTTCCCTAATGATCAGTGATGTGGAGATTTTTTTCATGTTTGTTGACCACATATATATCTTCTTTTGAGAAGTGTCTGTGTCTCTTGTCCACTTTTCAACATGGTTGTTTGCTTTACTTTTTGTAAGTTTTCTTAAGTTCCTTGTAGACTCCATATTAAACCTTTGTCAGATGGATAGACTGCAAACATTTTCTCCCATTGTGTAGGCTGCTCACTCTGATGGTACTTTCTTTTGCTGCGCAGAAGCTCATTTACTTAGATCCCATTTATCAAATTTTGCTTTTGCAATTGATTTGGCATTTGCATCATGAAATCTTTGTTGGCGCCTATGTCCTGAATGGTATTGCCTAGATTTTCTTCTAGAGTTTTTATAATTTTTAGTTTTACATTTAAGTCTTTACTCCCTCTTGAGTTAATTTTTGTATAAGGTATAGGGAAGGGGTCTAATTTCAATTTGCTGAATATGGCTAAACAATTTTCTCAGCATCATTTAATAAATATGGAATCCTTTCCCCATTGCTTGTTTTTGTCAGGTATTTTGATGATCATATGGTTATAGGTATGCAGTTTTATTTCTGAGGCTTCTATTTTGTTCCATTGGTTTATATGTCTGTTTTTGTACCACTACCATGCTGTTTAGGTTACTGTATCTTTGTAGAATAGTTTGAAGTCAAGTAGAGTGATGCCTCCAGCTTTGTTCTTTTTGCTTAGGATTGTCTTGGATATTCAGGCTCCTTTTTGGCTCCATATGAATTTTAAAATAGTTTCTTCTAATTCTGAGAAGATTGTCAATGATAGTTTAATGGGTATGGCATTGAATCTATGAATTACTTTGGGCAGTATGGCATAAGGATAGAACATTTTTCCATTTGTTTGTGTCTTCTTTGATTTCCTTGAGCAATGGTTGGTAGTTCTTAAAAAGGTATTTCACTGCTCTTATTAGCTGTATTCCTAGGTATTTTATTTGTCTTGTAACAATTGTGAATTGCATTTCATACCTAATTTGGCTCTCTGCTTGCCTGTTGTTGGTGTATTGCAATGGTAGTGATTTTTGCACATTGATTTCTGTATCCTGAAACTTTGCTTAAGTTGTTTATTACCTTAAGAAAATTTTGGGCTGAGACAATGGAATTTTGTTGATATAGGACCATCTGCAAATTTGATAATTTGACATTCAAAGGGTATTCTCCCTATTTGAATACCCTTTATTTCTTTCTCTTGTCTGATTGCCTTGGCCAAAACTTCCAATAGTATTTTGAATAGAAGTGCTGAGAGAGGCATCCTTGTCCTATGATAGTTTTCAAGGGAATGCTTCCAGCTTTTGCTCTTGCAGTATGATATTTGATGTGAGTTTGTTATATATGGTTCTTATTATTTTGATGTATGATCCTTTAAAACTAGTTTATTGAGAGTTTTTAAGATAAAGGGATGCTGAATTTTGTCAAAGGCCCTTTCTGCATCTATTGAGATCATCATGCAGTTTTTATATTTAGCTCTGTTTGTGATGAATTATATGTATTTATTTTAATATGTTAAGCCAACCTTGCATCCCAGAGATGAAACCAACTTGAATGTGGTGGATAAGCGTTTTGATGTGCTGCTGGATTTGGTTTGCCAGTATCTTATTGAAGAAATTGGCATCAATGTTAGTTAGAAATATTAGCCTTAAGTCTTTCTTTTTGGTGTATCTCTGTAAGGTTTTGGTATCAGGATGATGCTGGCCTCATAAAATTAGTTAGAGAGGTGTTGCTTCTTTTCAACTTTTTAGAATGGTTTCAGTAGAAAAGGTACCAACTTTTCTTTGTACTCTGGTGGAATTCAGCTGTAAATCCACCTGGTCCTGGGCCTTTTTGTTTGGTAGACTGCTTATGACAGCCTCAATTTCAGAACTCATTATTGGTCTATTCAGGGTTTCAATTTCTTTCTGGTTCAGTTTTGGGAAGGTGTATATGTTCAGGAATGTATCCATTTCTTCTAGATTTTCTAGTTTATGTGCATACAGGTATTTATAGTATTCTTTGATGGTTGTTTGCTTTACTGTGGATTCATTGGTGATATCCCCCTTATTTCTGATTGTGTTTACTTGATTCTTCTTCCTTTTCTTCTCTATTAGTTCTAGGTAGTGGGCTATTTTTCTTTTCTTCTTCTTCTTATTTATTTTTTTTTTCAAAAAAACAAGTCTTGGATTTATTGATTTTTTGAAGGGTTTTTCATGTCTTTATCTTTCAGCTCCACTCTGATGTTGGTTATTGTTTATCTTCTGCCTGCCAGCTTTGGGTTTGTTTGCTCTTGGTTCTCTAGTACTTTTAGTTGTGATGTAAGGTTGTTAATATGAGATCTTTCTAGCTTTTTCCTTTTTTTTTTTTTTTTGAAACACAGTCTTGCTGTCACCCAGGCTCGAGTGTAATGGCATGGTCTCAGCTCACTGCAACCTCTGCCTCCCAGGTTCAAGCGATTTTCCTGCCTCAGCCTCCTGAGAAGCTGAGATTACAGGCATGCCTGGCTAATTTTTGTATTTTTAGTAGATATGGGGTTTCACCATGTTGGCCAGGTTGGTCTCGAACTCCTGAACTTGTGATCCACCTGCCTTGGCCTTCCAAAATGCTGGAATTACAGGAGTGAGCCACTACACTCAACTTTTTCTAGCTTTTTGATGTGGGCATTTAGTGCTATAAATTTCCCTCAACACTGCTTTAGCTGCATCCCAGATATTCTGGTACATTGTCTCTTTGTTCTCATTAGTTTCAAAGAACTTCTTGATTTATGCCTTAATTTTATTATTTATCCATGAGTCATTCAGGAACAAGTTGTTCAATATCCATGTAGTTTTGTGGTTCTGAGGGAATTTCCTAGTCTTGAGTTCTAATTTGATTGTGCTGTGATCTGAAAGCTGTTATAATTTCAGTTCTTCTGCATTTGCTGAAGAGTGTTGTACTTCAGATTATGTGATCAATTTTAGAGTAAGTGTATATGGCAATGAAAAGATAAGTACATTCTCTTGTTTGGAGGATGAAGTGTTTTGTATGTATCTATCAGGTCTGCTTGATCCAGAGCTAAGTTCAGGTCCTGAATATCTTTGTTAATTTTCTGTCTTGATGATCCATCAAACATTGTCTGTATGCTGTCAAAGTCTCCCACTATTACTATGTGAGACTCTACATCTCTTTGTAGGTCTCTCAAAACTTGCTTTATAAATCTAGGTGTTCCTTTATTAGGTGCATATATATGTAGGGATAGTTAGCTCTTCTTGTTGAATTGACTCCTTTACCATTATATGGTTCCCTTTTTTGTCTTTTCTGATTTTGTTGGTGTAAAGTTTGTTTTGTCAGAAACTAGGTTTGTAACCCGATTTTTTCTGTTTTTCATATGTTTGGTAAATTATACTCAATTCCTTTATTTTGAGTCTATGTGTATCTCTGCATGAGATGTGTCTCTTGAAAACAGCATACCAACAGGTTTTGACTCTGTCCAGTTTGCCAGTCTGTGTCTTTTAATGGGGGCATTTAGCCTATGTATACTTAAAGTTAATATTGCTATATGTTAAGTTTCATCCTGTCATCATAATGTGAGCTGGTTATTTTGTAGACTTGTTTATGTGGTTGTCTCATACTGTTACTGATCTGTGTACTTTAGTATATTTTTGTAGTTGCTGTTAACAATTTTTCCTTTCTGTATTTAGTGCTTCCTTCAGGAGTTCTTGCAAAGCAGGTGTGTTGTGACTTATTTCCCCAGCATTTGTTTGTCTGAAAAGAATCTTATTTCTCCTTTGCTTATGAAACTTACTTTGGCTGGGTATGAAATTCTGTGTTGGAAATTCTTTAGAAATGTTATATATTGGCCCCTAGTTGCTTCTGGCTCTGGCTTAAAAGGTTTACACTGAGAGGTCTGCTGTTATGCTGATGGGTTTCTCTTTGTAAGCAATCCAGCCTTTCTCTTTGGCTGCCCTTAACAGTTTTTCTTTCATTTCGACCTTGGAGAATCTGATGATTATGTGACTTGGGGTTAATCTTCTTGTGAAGTATCTTACTGTGGCTCTGTAGATTTCCTGAATTTGAATGTTGGCCTGTCTTGCTAGGTTGGGGGTGTTCTCCTGGATCATATCCTGAAGTATGTTTTCCAACTTGGTTCTGTTCTTATTTCTTTCAGGTGTGCCAATCAGTTGTAGGTTCAGTCTTTTTACATATTCCCATATTTCTCCAAGGTTTTGTTCATTCCCTTTTATTCTTTTCTCTCTATTCTTGTCTGCCTGTCTTCTTTCAGGAAGAAAGTCTTCAAGCTCTGAGATTCTTTTCTCCACTTCATCTATTCTGCTATTGAAACTTGTTATTGCACTGTGCATTTCCCATGTTGTGTTTCTCAGCTCCATTAGGTCAGGTATGTTTCTCTCTAAACTGGCTATTCTGGTAAAAATATAGACTACTTCACAAATTTATGTGTCATCCTTGTACAGTGGCCATGCTAGTTTTCTCTGTATCATTCCAAATTTAGCATAAGTGCTGCCAAAAGCAAGCACAGCAGTATATTTTTAAAATCTCAAACGGTTTGTATTTATATCCCATTTATTTACTGACTCCAGAATTATGAAACTATTTTAAAAAGGGTTAGCAAGTTTCCCATATCTAGTTTATTAGCCAATTTAAAAAAGCCAAAACACAAACAAAAATGAAACAAAATAATATGAAATATATACAGTATAATAATGAAAAGTGTTAACATTAGGATTTACTATAGCTGTCATTTATATATTAATTTATAATATAGCAATTTTAAATTATAATTACTTATATTATTCCTTTTATAAGTGCTTCCTTCTAGTAATATTTAACATACTGATTGATGCATTTTAACATTTTTGTTGAGGTTCAATTGACATACAACAATCAGTGCATATTCAATTTGTTGAACTGATATGCATATAAGCCACTCAAATAAACACTGCAATAAAGTTGATAAGCATACCCATAGCCCTAAGAGTATATGCTTTTGTAATTCATATATAGTTCTCCCACCTCTCCTTTCTACAACTATCAGTATCCTTTCCATCATTAGAGATTAGTTTTTTCTTTTTTTTTTTTAAGCATTTTATGTAAGTGGAATTTCATGTTATGTACTCTCTTTTGTCCAGTTTATTTTACTCACTTGTTTTTGTTTCCAGATTTATTCACATTTTGGTGTTCATCAATACTTTAAAAATTTCTGAATAGTATTCTGTTTTATGATATATAATTTGTTTATTCATCTACCTGTGGAAGGATATTTGGAATGTTTCCAATTTGGTACTTTAGAAATAAAGTGTAAAAATTTGTGTACAAATCTCTGTGTGAACATAAATATCTAGGAATGAAATATCTAGGCTATATGGAAGTTTAAGTAAGAAAGAATTTTTTAAAACTATATTATAGAGGAGGTGGCTGGCAAGATGGTTGAATAGGAACAGCTCTGGTTTGCAGCTCCCAGCGAGATTAACACATAAGGTGGGTGATTTCTACATTTCCAGCTGAGGTATCTGGCTTATCTCATTGGGACTGGTTAGACAGTGGGTACAGCCCATGGAGGCAAGCTGAAGCAGGGTGGAACATCACCTCACCCAGGAAGTACAAAGGGTTGAGGAACTCCCTTCCCTAGCCAAGGGAAGCTGTGAGGGGCTGTGACGTGAGGAACAGTATACTCCAGGCAAGATACTATGCTTTTCCCACAGTCTTTGCATCCCGTAAACCAGAAGATTCCATCAAGTGCCTATACCACCACTAGGGCCCTGGGTTTCAAGCACAAAACTAGGCAGCCGTTTGGGCAGATACTGAGCTAGATGCAGGAGGTTTTTTTTTTTTTTTTTTTCGGTATCCCGGTGGCATCTGGAACACCAGCAAGACAGAACTGTTTACTCCCCAGGAGCCAAGTGGTCTAGCTCAGCAAGCCAAGATCCACTGGCTTGAAATTCTCCCTGTCAACACAGCAATCTGAAGTCAACTTGGGACACTCGAGCTTGGTGTGTGCTGGGGGGTCTGCCATTACTGAGGTTTCAGTAGAAGTTTTCCCCACACAGTGTAAACACAGACACTAGGATCTTCAAACTGGGTGAAGCCCACTGCAGCTTGACAAAGCCTCTGCAGCCAGACTGTCTCTGTAGATTCCTCCTCTCTGGGCAGGGCATCTCTGAAAGAAAGGCAGTAGCCCCAGCCAGGGGTTTATAGATAAAACTCCCATCTTCCTAGGATAGAGCACCTTGGGGAAGTGGCGACTACAGGCAGCTTCAGCAGACTTGAATGTTCATGCCTGCTGGCTCAGAAGGCAGCAGCAGATTTCCTGGCAGAGCTCTTGAGCTCTGCTAAGGAACAGACTGCCTCCTCAAATGGGTCCCTGACCCCCATGCCTCCTGACTGGGAGATACTTCTCAGCAGGGATCTACAGACACCTCATACAAGAGAGCTCTGACTGGCATCTAGCTGGTGCCCCACTGGGATGAAGCTTCCAGAGGAATGAACAGGCAGCAATCTTTGCTGTTCTGCTGACTCTGCTGGTGATACCCAGCCAAACAGGGTCTGGAGCGGACCTCCAGCAAATTCCAGCAGGCCTGGAGTTTGTCACCACCAGGCCTGTAGCAGAGGGGACTGACTGTGAAAAGGAAAATGAACAGAAAAGAATGGCAACAACATCAACAAAATGATGTTCACACAGAAACCCCATCCAAAAGTCACCAACATCAAAGATCAAATGTAGATAAATCCACAAAGATTAAAAAAATAGTTCAAAAAAGCCAAAAATTTCAAAGCCCAGGATCCCTCTTCTCCAAAGGATCATAACTTCTCACCAGCAAGGGAACAAAACTGGATGGAGAATGAGTTTGACGAATTGATGGAAGTGGGCTTCAGAAGGTGGGTAATAACAAAGTCTTCCAAGCTAAAGGAACAGGTTCTAATCCAATGCAAGGAAGCTAAGAACCTGCAAAAAAAGGTAAAAGGAATTGCTAACTACAATAACCAGTTTAGAAAAGAACATAAATGACCCAATGGAGCTAAAAAACACAGCACAAGAACTTCATGAAGCATACACAAGTATCAATAACCAAATTTATGAAATAAAGTGTGAAGACAAGATTAGAGAAAGAAGAATGAAAGGGAATAAACAAAGCCTCCAAAAAATATGAGACTATGTGAAAGGACCACACCTATGTTTGATTGGTGTACCTGAAAGTGACAGGGAGAATGGAACCAAGTTGGAAAACATTGTTCAGGATATTCTTTAGGAGAACTTCCCCAACCTAGCAAGGCAGGCCAACATTCAAATTCAGGAAACACAGAGAACACCACAAAGATAATCCTCGAGAAGAGCAACCCCAAGCGCATAATATTCAGATTCACCAAGGTTGAAATGAAGGAGAAAATGTTAAGTGCAGCCAAGAGAAAGGTCAGGTTCCCCACAAAAGAAGCCCTTCAGACTAACAGAAGATCTCTCTGTATAAATTTTACAGAAGAGAGTGGGGGCCAATATTAGATATTCTTAAAGAAAAGAATTTTCAACCCAGAATTTCATATCCAGCCAAACTAAGCTTCATAAGTGAAGAATAAAATCCTTTACACATAAGCAAATGCTGAGAGATTTTTGCCACCACCAGGCCTGCCTTACAAGAGCTCCTGAAGGAAGAACTAAATATGGAAAGAAAAAAGCAGTACCAGCCACTGCACAAACATATCAAATTGTAAAGACCATCGACACAATGAAGAAACTGCATCAACTAATGGGCAAAAGCTATCATCATAAAGACAGGATCAAATTCACACATAACAATATTAACCTTAAATGTAAAGAGGTTAAATGCCCCAATTAGAAGACACAGAATGGCAAATTGGATAAAGAGTCAAAACCCATCAGTGTGCTGTATTCAGGAGACCTATCTCACATGCAAAGATGCACAGAGGCTCAAAATAAACGGATGGAGGAAGACTTACCAAGCAAATGGAAAGCAAAAAAAAGCAGGGGTTGCAATCCTAGTCCCTAATAAAACATACTTTAAACCAACAAAGATCAAAACAGACAAAAGGGCATTACATAATGGCAAAGAGATTAATGCAAGAAGAAGAACTAACTATCCTAAATATATATGCATCCAATACAGCAGCACCCATATTGATAAAGCAAGTTCTGAGAGACCACAAAGAGACTTAGATTCCCACAAAATAATATAGGAAGACTTTAACATCCCACTGTCAATATTAAACAGATCAACAAGACAGAAAATTAACAAGGATATTCAAGACTTGAACTCAGCGCTGGACCGAGCAGACCTAATAGACATCTAAAGAACTCTCCACCCCAAATCCACAGAACATACTTTCTTCTCAGCACCACATCACAATTATTCTAAAATTGATCACATAATTGGAAGTAAAACACTTTTCAGAAAATGCAAAANAGGATATCAGAGATTGAAGATCAACTTAATGAAATAAAGCATGAAGAAAAGATTAGAGAAAAATAAAAAGGAACTAACAAAGCCTCCAAGAAATATGGAACTATGTGAAAAGACCAAACTTTTTGGTTGGTGTGCCTAAAAGTGACAGGAAGAATGGAACTGAGTTGGAAAACACTCTTCAGGATGTTATCCAGGAGAATTTCCGAACCCTAGCAAGAGAGGTCAACATTCAAATTCAGGAAATACACAGAACACCACAAAGATACTCCTCAAGAAGAGCAACCCCAAGACACATAATCATCAGATTCACCAAGGTGGAAATGAAGGAAAAAATGTTAAGGGCAGCCACAGAGGAAGATTGGGTTACTCACAAAGGGAAGCCCATCCAACTAACAGATCTCTCTGCAGAAACCCTGCAAGCCGGAAGACTGGAGGCCTAAATTCAATATTCTTAAAGAAAAGAATTTTCAACCCAGAATTACATATCCAGCCAAACTAAGCTTCATAAGTAAAAGAGAAATAAAATTCTTTACAGACAAGCAAATGCTGAGGGATTTTGTCACCACCAGGCCTGCCTTACAAGAGCTCCTGAAGGAGGCACTAAATATGGAAAGGAAAAACTAATACCAGCCACTTCCATAAAATACCAAATTGTAAAGACCATCACCACTATGATAAAACTGCATCAACTAACAGGCACAACAGCCAGTTTGCATCATAATGACAGGATCAAATCCACACATTACAATATTAACCTTAAACAGGCTAAATGCCCCAATTAAAAGACACAGACTGGCACATTGAATAAAGAGTCAAGACCCATCAGTGTGCTGTATTCAGGAGACCCACGTCACAAGCAACACACATAGGCTCAAAATAAAGAGATGGAGGAATATTTAGCAAGCAAATGGAAAGAAAAAAAAAAAGCAGGGGTGGCAAACCTAGTTTCTCTGATAGATTTTAAACCAACAAAGATCAAGAAAGACAAAAACATCATTAACCCATTCTGTTGTTTTAAATTACAACTACTTCAAAGGTAATGTTTATTTTCAAAGGTAGTCAATTGTCAGTTAACTATTTTCCACTATGTTTACAATGAAAAA